CATTTGCAGCTCAGAGTTGCAGAAGAACATGCATACCTTGGATACTGGCACTGTCCAAGATGGGCTGGAGATTCTTCACCTCCTCCAGAAGGGCTGCTCGGGAAGGAATAACCTGCTCCTCTGGTCAGGCAGGGACAAGAAGCAACATCAGTAAATGTAAGACGCCTCTTTGGCTTTTCACAGATACTGGTGAGGCAAGTTTTCCAGCTGATCTAGCTGTACAGAAAGGGGCTTGTTTATGATTTAGACTTCTCTGTTGCTCATCCCTGGATCCTGGTTCACCCCAATTTAAGGCAGGAGAATCTCTACCAAGTTTCATTTGCAGATTATACCAACACAAGACTGAACCAAATTCTTGGGGGCACAAGAGGACAAGGCGAGAAGGTGTTTAAAATACATCCAGGAGGAAAACTGTTCTAGCTCCACTATTTCTTTCAACCTTTTATTAATTCAGGGCTAAATTGATCAATATTGAAAATATAAGAACTGATAAAACTGCAATATGGACATGTACAACGGAGCACTAAGGTTGACAGATGCTCTTGTACAAAATCTCTGACAGCTCTAAAGAGGGTGCCTTGCTAGATCTTTATAACTAAAGAAATCCATCCCAATCCAGCTTAGGTAAAAGACAACTTTTACAGTGCATAAAAACTCCCATCCCTTTCAATTCATGCCATACCTGCCAAGATGAACTGCAGCTTCATGGCATCTGGAACAGCCACCCTATCAATGTACTGAGGGTCAAGGTATTTTATTACATCTTCGACTAAAATGAAAAAAGGTTTGGAGACAAAAAGTAGGAGAGACATTATTGTATTTACAAGTGCAATTTTCCCCCAGGCTATACGTCAGGTTACTTTGTAAACACTACCCACTCAGGTTTTGGGGTTTTTTTCAGATTTATTAATTTCTACAGCACTTGAAAATACGTGACTTTGGAGCATTGTGACCAATAACTGACAAGTGGCTCAAGCCAAATAACTGCTTTCTTACAGACAACAGCACACGTGCTTTTTATTTGGAAAACAATATCAAAAGTGAGTAAAATCTGCTTCTTCCTGCCCTCAGAACAAAACGAACAAAACCAGACAATAGTCCTCCATCCCGATCCTTAGGATACAGAGTTTACATTTTTATACCAAACGGCCACCACAGCCTTGGACCACAACGACCCTCCTTACACAGCCTGTTCCTTCTGCAATACCAGGCAGCAAAACTTGGCCAGGAGACAGCTTTGCAGGACATCCGCTCCTGATATCCGTCAGTTTGGAGGTGGGTCCCCAGATCCATCCACCAGTGGCTGCATGTGATTCTTATTGCTCCCACCACACACAGAGGGGAGAGCTGCGCTAGCGTGCCTGGGAAGCCCAAGTGTGCAAGAAGTCGTTTCAGGAGCTCGCGCTCCAACTGCCTGCAAGGGCTGCATTTCAGGTGGAAAAAATCACTACACCAATACAGGCAAACATCAAGAGAATAACAGCTTGCAGCGGAGAATCGCAAACAGAAAGACCTCATAAGTTACTATTTCTCTGCCACATGTGCAAAACAAGAGGCCAAAACCGCAGGGGCTCAGAGGAGGAAAGGGAAACGCGACACAGGGGTTTCGAGGTGCCCCAGCCCCACCTCCCCAATTCCACCCGGCCTCCCCCTCCTCGAGGCCACTCACTTTTCTTAAACAGGATTTTGATCCTCTCCCTCTTGCCGGCGATATTGTTCAGCGAGACCTGCACCTTCACCAGCTCGTCAGCCACCTGCAGTGGCACAAAGGGAGGGGATGGGCTTGTCAGACTCCGCCGGGCTCTGGCCCGGGCCTGAACCTCAGCCTCGAGGGGAGGCCAAAGCAGGCCCCGGGGAACCCAGGGCCGCCCCCCGCGGTACCTGTACCCCCTCCCCGGCACCTTGCGCGGCCCACAGACGTTGTCACCGCCGTTAATGCACTGCTCCAGCTCCTCCAGCCACCACTCCAGCCTGCGCAGCTCTGCCACCCCCGCCGCCATCTTGCTGCCTGCCAGAAGCGCAGCGCCACGCCCCGTTGACGTGAGGTTTTTGTTGCTAGGAGACGCCCTCGTTGCCACAGAGATTGAGCTCGCTGGGCCAGGAAGCCGGGGGGTGGGCAGGAGGGAGCTGGCTGCCGCTGGGCTGGGGGCAGGAGGTTCGAAGCCCCTCTCAGAGTCAGGGAGGGGAGGCTGCAGCCGGTCGATGGTGATTTGCACTGCAGAGGGAGGCATGTAGGCCTCCCGCTGCCCGGGCGGTCGATGACTCTTCATTCCGGCGTGGTCCTACAGGAAAGGGGCGCTTGGATATATGAAAAGAAATTGATATAGCGATCTATGGGCTGTGTAGATGCAGGGCCTTTGAAATTCAGGAGGCTGCCGCGGGCTTTCCCCCAGGCCTCAGCCTGCCCAGGTTCACCTTTCTCCTATCGACCACTGGTGACGCTCACTAAAAAGTGAGGCACTAATGAATGCGGCAGCCAACCCCAGCCCCGCTGCTGCCTGCAACTGGCACTCACAATTACAGGGATCTCTCAAAGGGATGAGATGAATTCATGGTAGCAGCATCCGCCACAGAGAAAAGACCAGAGACTTTCCAAACTACAGAGGAAGAAGTTCAGGAATCTTCAAAGCACCTTGCGATGTTGTTCCCTGTGCCCCAGGGCTCAGCCTGCCCCTGCCCTGCTCTGCCCGTGTAGCCTCGGCAGTGCCAGAGTTGCCTCAGGCTGGAGGGCATCTCTGCACCTTGTGGGATGCGAGCGAGGGGCTGGGTGTTGCAGCACCGTGCCACAGGCACCAGAGAACACCCAGTCAAGGTCCCAGGCCAGGTTCTTAGGTAAAAACCATATACTAATAGCGAGTACTTTGCATGGCTGGCAATGTGGGCTGGATTGCTTTGGGGGCTCTCCCAGTGCCCTTTGACAAGAGCAAAACCCACTGTGCCCTGAAAAAGATTTGTACTTCTAGATGTATCCCCTACAGAGAGTTAGACAGTGCTGCCAGGCAGTAGGAGGGAGATGTGGGGTGCCCTAGGGCACCAGCAACCTCTGTGGCCTCCCAGATGTCCCTGGAGGAGCTGTGCAGAACACTCAGGCAGGAGGAGCAGGCTGAGGCTCTGTGTGCTCTGCCTTTTTTCCCAGGGATCGATAGCCAGGCTGTGGAAGAGGGATCTTCAGAGGGGAAGAGCTGTGCTTTGTTCCACAAAGGTGACAAACAGAAATGGCTTCATTAGCAGAAGTGACTGGGGACTGCAGAAGGGGCTGGGTTCTGCACACACAGTGCTGGTCTGTGTTTAGAGGGTACTGGCTCTACCGTGGCCTGTGCCCAGTGTGTTGGGCAATGTCCACAAGTACAGAAATGCCTGTGCTACAGGGTCACTTACTCAAGGTGAGAAATTCATGCATCCCTGGGACTCAAGCACTGTGGGGCTTTGGAGTTGGAGGACATCCACTCTTTAGAGTCCCATCCAGACTGCAAGCCTTGGAACAAGGCTGAAGCCACAGCACTGGCTGCCCACAGCCCAGCCCAACACACAGCATATCTGCCTCCTCATCCTTGGGGCTGAGAGGAGGCCTTCAATCCCATCCCTGGAGCCTGTGGTGACACACTGATGCCATGGCCACCTGCCTCCAGCTGAGTGCTGAGGCTGGATCCAGCGCTCCTCCTGCTAGGCTTAATCATCCTTGCATCCTCCCTTTCCTCCCTCCTGCTCAATTACAGTCCCTGCGGGACATTGGCATCGATCAGGGCTGGTTACTCAGGTGACAGCAGCTGTGTCCTCAAGCCCCCCAGGGAGTGTGGCAACACACATCACCCCTTGAGCTGTGTAACGAGTGGGGACGCAGGCCCACGTGTGCCCTCCCAGATCCCCGGGGCCCTGGTGCTCGATGAGCTGTGTCCCACACTGCCTGGCAGTGACAGGGGACATGAGACCCCAATTAAGGCTGCATCGATCCCACTCCAGCTCCTCTTGGTGGGCTGTGCTGAGCCATGCCGTGGTCACAGGAGTTCTGTGCCAGAGCTTCGCTGTCTCACACCCTGGCATCCCTACCCCAGAGCAAACACCCTCGGACCATCTTGCAGCCTGGGGCACACACGGACACACACATGCACAGAGAGGGAAACCCCGCTGCAGCCTGGTGCATGTGCACATGCACTCACACGCATACACACAGAGGGAACCTCACGGCAGCCTGGTGCACGCACTCACACCCATACGCACATGCACAGGAAGCCCTACCGCAGCCTGGTGCACACACACACACACACACACACCCCCCACACTCCCACGTTCACAGACACACTCACCCTCATACCCCCCTACAAGGTCCCTCTGGCAGACCCGGCCCGGGGCAGTCCTAGGATCCTTTTCAAGGGTCCTCTGTCGCCCTCGTGTCCCCACCATGTCCCGCACCGTGTCCCCCACCCATGTCCCACCTCGCTCCTGCCCCAAGGAGGGGTCCGGAGCAGGCGAGGTCGCTGCAGAACCCTGGACAGCGCCCGCCCCGCCCGGCTGGGTCCGGCGGTGTCCCCGGGGGCTGGAGGTGTCCCCGGGAGTGTCCCCGGGGGCTGGAGGTGTCCCCGGGAGTGTCCCCGGGGGCTGGAGGTGTCCCCGCGAGCTGGGGGTGCTCCCTGGGGGTGTCCCCGGGAGCTGGGAGTGTGCCCAGGGGCGACCTCTGAAGCAGGAGGTCCTGCCCTCATGGGTGACAGGCACCTGGCTTCATGGGTGCTGGGGTGGGCCTGTCCTCATGGCTGCAGCTGGCAGCGGTGTCTGTCCTCATGGGACCCCCCACCCCGTGCCTCTTCGTATGCATGGGTGGCTGCATGCGTGTGCAAGTGCATTCACACACACCTGTGTGAGTGTGACTGCGTGTGAGTGTGCATGCCACTGAGTTTGTACATGGGAGCACAAATCTGCATGTTATGTGTGGTGATTTAGCTGCCTGCACATCTCTGTGCTTTCCCACATGCACCTGCACAAGCACTCGTGAGCACTCATGTGTGTGTGCCTGTGTCTCCCAGCTCTAGCTGGGTCACCCGTGTCCTCTGTGAGTGCTGTCCAGGTGCCAGGCTGGCCCAGCACTTCTTGCATCTCGTTTGGTGCAATCTCACAGCCCCATGGCCATGGCCACGCTCCTTGCCTGGCACAGGCAGACTAACAGGGTATGAGCAGCCACGGGGCAGTTTGCGGGGCCAAGCAGCACCACAGCTTGGCTGGCACAGCTGGAGTTGGTGTCCAGGCCATGCTTGAGGGCTGTGGTGGGTGTAGGGCACTTGTTTGCAAACCAGAACCCTCAGAAACTGAGACAACCCTGTGCTGGTGGCAAAGGAGAGGCAGGCTATGAAACCTCAGGCACTACAGCTGCTACCCCAGCGTGTTACAGGCTATGGGGGTGTCCTTCACCCACAAACGGTCCCCAGGCTGGGCAACAGAGCTTGGTGGGTGGCACCATGTCATGCACATCACCCTCAACACTGGTTTGGTTTCAACAGTTAATTTCCTTTAATAGATACACAGAGTTGCGCGGCTGCAGTGGGAGTGCTAGGGGGAGCCCAGCGGCACCGAGCCCCGGCCCCCGCGCTGAGGTAGAGGTGAGCGTTGCTCCACGCTCGCCTGCTTTGGCACCCAGGTGTGCAAGCGGGTGGAGGAGGCGCCCGCCCAGCCCCAACGAGGTAGTTCAGAGTGCCCTCCATCTCCCTGCCCCCCAGCTGGGGACCCCAGCATCCAAGAGATCTTTGGTGGTGGGGGACACTGCTGGGCCTCCCTGCCCTATCCCCATCAATAAACTCCCCACAGTGCACAAGCTCAACACTGATATTAAGCACAATCCCAATAAGCTCCGCCCCCACCTAACAACCCATCATATCTCACCCCTACCAGTTCCACCAGTTTCCCAGTATCCACCCCCCAGGGTGACCCCCCTGAGTTGAGGAACTGGGGGG